TTCACTTATTGTAATATCTTTTTTATCTTACTTTATTAATAAAACAAGGTATACAATAGAAAACACATTTGCTAAACAAACGCAAGTAGAAGTTTGACATTACATTGGCGTCATTGCTGTCACCTTAAAACTAACACAGCCACAGAGAACTTAGAGAGTATCCTTTTGCAACAGAAACTGTTAACATCATCTACTTATCACGGGGATGAAAGCTGGAATCATGAGATTACATTATTTTATTCAGCAGCTTTCAGTAAATTACACATATTTAAGGGGCATTAAATCAATAAATAGGTTCGCTCTGCAACACAACAGTCATATAAAGAACTGCACTTCACATTAATTTACTGAGTACCAATAAGCCAGTCAATGTGTCACCATGAGATAGTAGTGCCTTAATTAAGACTAAAATTTCTGTAAACATAACAAGCCGTTCAATGTGAAAATGTAAATGAATCCAAAGAAATTAAAACATTGACGTAATGGCACTCTAGAACTCACTATTAACTGGCTAAAAAGGCGTGTACAGCCCTGTAGCGCCTGGGAGGTAGACAACTTATCTTACGCCGGCGCGACGCAGCCCGCCCTGTCCCCGCTCCAGCCATCCAGCGCGGTGTGGTGTGGGCCAAACGTTTGTCACAACCGGTTTCAAAGACGATTGTGACAGATATCAGATCCAGACTAAAGCTGACATTTTTAAATAAACACGAAGAAGCTCTTATATTTTGAATGGCGGGTGAAAATAGGAAGCAATAAGTAGCAGATCGCAGATCGCAGTCGCGAAAACTGTTCTAAACGTATGGTTGCCTGCGTTCATATTGCCGTCTAGCACTTCCACTTAGACTTGAAGCCAGGCGGAACCGAGTGATCGCTCTTAGAATAATGCGAAAGCTGCCGGGGCTGCATCGTCGATCGGACATCGATCCGACAAAGTTTCGGAGCGCTCGGAGCCTATCGGACATAGTCTCTCACCATCATAATCAACAGTTATCAGAGCTGCCACCTGTCGTCGGTAATACTGCTCGCAACATCGGCCATCTCTCTCGCTATCACAACACAACTCGACCTCGCTCGGCCCAAACTCGAGTTGGGTTCGAACGGGACAGGTCGGGTCGGGCGTCGGGCGACCTGGCTGAATGACTGACTCCAAGGACGCCTATCCATCCAGGCCACACGCCGCGTCCAGAACCTACGGCAGGAGTGCACCTGGGCCTGGGTCTAGGAGCCGGGGCCCGGGTTGACGATGGTGGCCCAGAAGAGTGTGGCCAGCGTCGTCTCGTGCCGCACGAAGAAGGAGAAGGGCCGGTCCACGCGGAACACGGGTGTGGCGGCGTAGTCGATGGTCGTGGTGGTGCTGGCGGCCGCCTCGGTCCCGTCCTCGTTCACCTCCAGGAACATCTGGTGGACGATGTCCTGGATGCGGAATCGCGGGTCGTTGGAGGCGTTGGTCATGTTGAAGACGAGCGGGTCGTCCTGGCCGGTCGCGGCGGCCACCAGGCCGCCCGGAGCGGGTCTTGACGACGAGCCGCTCCCCAGGCCCGTCCGGGTGCCTATCAGGACGGCTTCCGACGGGCAGGTGCAGGAGCAGCCGTTCATGTCCACCCCTGCGGCAGACACGCGTCACATTCAATCGACCTCAAACAACCCACCGTTTCATATTTCGCGCGCTCGGCGGCGCCCTGACTCACTCCTTGTCTGCGAGAGGGTGTCGCGGGTTCGGATGCGGTTGGCCGCCAGCCCGTCGGCGACGCCGGCCGCGGAGTGCTGCTGGGCCTGGAAGCGGCGAAGGGGCTCCTTCATCGAGAACGTCTCCTTCAGCACCATCCGGGGCAGCGCCACCGTCACCTGCGGGTAGAACGGCACACGCGTTGTTGTTATGTACCTCGAGGACTTAACTTGCCGGTAGCGCGGCTAAGCGCAACCTTAACCCCACGACCCTCTAGAGCGCCCTCCTCTCTGACAATGGGCTGCATGTCGTTTAACGATCGCCGATAACTCATCTCGCTCGTAATTTCTAAACAAGAATGAAGGAAGGCGTGGGCGCTTCACCTCCCCTCCCCCCTTTCCCCCTCCGCACGCACGCTGCACGCCCGCATTCGGCCAACATGTAATGTGTGCAGCAACTACATCGGCCGCTGCTCGGTCCATGCTCCTTTTTTCGTCTCTAATTCCCTCTTATACTTTCTCAAGTCGTAAAGGCGGGTCGCTTTAAATACATCTCCAGGGACTCTCCCTCTCAACTACCACTTTCATGGGAGCAAACCGCCCCACCGCATCCCGCGCGGGCGGGACAGTGTTGGGTGTCTGTCAGTCAGTCAGCAGATCCTGACCTCGATAAATACAGCGTGCCTTAACCTTTGGAGATACTGCCGGAGTGGGGATGACGTAGGGAAGGAGAGGGGGAGAGGGGGGAGCCTACGTCTGTGGCTCTGCCAGCGTGTGACATACGCCCCCCCGGAGTGGACTGGTCCTGCCGGTCTGGGCGGGGATGCGGTGCGTACGTCACTAGTGGGTGGGACAGATGCCCGGGGTCACAGGCGTCCCCCCCCCCC